AATGGTAGTTGTGTCAAACATGCAATGAATCGGGTTCCTTCTTATAGGTCATCATACAACTCCCTTTTGCCCACTGCCGCCATGTAACTAGTATATAAACCCCCCTTGGCCACCACTTACAAATACCCCAACATTTCTTTCTTTGTTCATTAATTTGATAAAACAAAGAAGTAGAAGAAGAAGAAGAAGAAGAAGAAGAAGGAGAAGAGAAAATGGGAGGCAACTTATCACACATTCAAGACTACTCCGATGATGATTCGTCACGCGGAAAGAAGTCTCGCATCATGGCCTTCCATTCCAAGGACCAATGGAGCACTCACTTCAATGCCTCCAAAGAAAGCAACAAACTGGTACTTATATTTATTAGCTCTCTCTCTCTCTCTCTCTCTCTCTCTCTCTTATATACACATAATCTTTGAGTTTTTTTTTGTTGTTGTACTAATTTGCACTGTGGTGGTGGTGTTGATGAAAAAATATATATAGATGGTGATAGATTTCACGGCAACATGGTGTGGACCTTGTCGAGCCATGGAGCCAACATTGAAGGAGTATGCTGATAAATACACAGACGTTGAGTTTATCAAGCTGGATGTAGACGAGTTACCGGTATATATATATATAAATATATATATTTTGATTTATTTATGCATGATGAATTTTTGTTTCTATATTATTGAACTAATAATAAGGATTTGAGCGATTGATATTAATTGTATATATATGTAGGATGTGGCTAGGGAGTTTGGGGTGCAGGCAATGCCTTCATTTGTTTTTGTGAAGAAAGGGGACGTGGTTGATAAGGTCGTGGGGGCCAGGAAGGAGGAACTCCAGAAGAAGATTGAGAAACACAGGAAATAAAATAAAAATAATAATGAAGATTGAAGAAGGTTGAAGAAGCTTGATGGCTGATGCTCTGAGTCAAATTGAGCTCGATCGATCGGGAATATATGATGATGTGGAAATAAAGCCAACAAAAAAAGAAGAAAAAAAAAAAAGGTGTCTCCATCCCCTCTCTTTGTTTCTCAGAGGGGAGAGTGAATAAAATATGAACCTAAATTATTTAATTTTCATGCATGGAGTTATGGTGTCTGTAGTTATCAACTGTTATTTCACTTTGATTTTAATTTGAAATGGTATGTGTCTTCTCTTCTCTTGCTCTCCTACTCCTTCCTTTTATAATCCGACTCGATACCAGTACCAGTATAACTCATGAATTATCCATCTCAATGCAATCACAATTCACAACTTGCTTTGAAATCACAAATTTGATCCCTGCAATAATACATATTGAAATCATGATTCTTACATATAATCAGCTTGACGTTTGCTCTAGTAATCTCTTTTTCGTAATATCAAAAATATTCTCAACTTTTCATCATTATTACAAAAATAAGAAGGTACGTATGTTCTTACATTTAAGCACTCCGTCAGATTCTTATCACTATGGTATTGTATATTCATTGGCGCTCGTGCACACGTTGAGCATCACCTTTTCAATCCCACTACAAAGAAAAAGAACAAAAAAGGGTGATGCTCATAAAATGCAGGCCAGAAGGGGTTTGTGGTGGAGCTTGGCGTGTTTCCTAATTAGGAATTGGAATTTTTATTAGGAATTGGAATTTTTATCATGAATTGAATTTCATCTATGAAAGATTCATGTGTTTACTTCACATCAAGGAATTAAAAAGTAAGTGGGGCCCGCACAAAATTAGGAATTGAATTCTTGATTTTGGAGGAATTCAATTCTTGGGTGGGAGGTGGTATTCCAATTTCGGGAGAATTAACTCATTAGGAATTCATCTTTTTTACTCATTATATCCTCACACAATTTTGAAAATTTCAAATTTGCCATCTATTTGAACCCAATAACGAGGACATATTAATAATTAGTAACCACTACTACCCCAATTCCATATGGTTTAGTAAACAACTTTAATAGAATATGAAATCTAATTCTCTTCAATCCAACACCTTCTCAATTCAATTTCTCATAATCTTAAGACTCATAAAAATTGGAGAGAGTTGTAATGAGTTTAAAAGTCTGGAGGTGTTCAACTATGACTTAAAGATATAGTCAGCAATAAGTTGGACTTGGAGGTAGAAAAATATGCCATGCCCTCTAAATGTTTGTACCATCAGGATTGAGGACCACCAACCCCAACGGTTAAGCAGAGACAACAACATGCAATGAATTCCAGCGACTGACTTATAATATATGAACACGGACCAAAGTCTGTACAAGCTTGTAACTCCAATTCTCCTCAACCACTCAAATGTATAGGGCATTGCCCGCAAAAGAAATAATCAGAGAGAGAAGAAGCTTGAAGCTAAAACCAGTTCATCATTTATATAAAAAAAAACACATTACACAAATGGTTTTTCCATCATTCTAAAAAAAGAAAGGACTAATAGCTATTTTGCTATTACACTGATTAATTTGAAAGGGAAGGCCCAATCCAACCCTAAAAGCTTTGCTTCCTAGTATGCACAATTAAGCAGTGGAAACATTAAATATTTACAAAATTGATCTTAATTTGCCAATTAGAGTTTATGGACTTGGCATCCTAGTTAGGCATGAACTCTGATCAAACTAGGAATTAATCAGCTCGACCAAGCACCCTTCTCAGATCACTTTTCTGTTCTACACTCAGCTTCGATGGAAAGACGACGTCAAACTTGATCCTGAGGTTTCCTTTCTTGGTGGGATCTTTTGAGATGGGCATTCCCTCATTAGGGATCAATTCCTCATGACCAGGTTTAATTATATCTCTCACTGGGATCATCAGAATCCTTCCGTCTAAGGTTGTCAGATTGACAAAAGTCCCCGTGAGAGCCTCGAGTAGAGATAACTCCTGAGTGACCACAAGGTCATTCCCATCCCTCTTAAAAACACCATGGGGTTTTTCATCGACCACGAATATAAGATCTGCCGGAGAGACTCCTGGTTCTTGGTTGCCTTTCTCTGGGAAGGTGATTTTCGTACCCTTCTTCCAACCAGGCTTGATGTCTATCTTTAAGATTTCCTCAACTGTCTTCGGCTTACTGCAACAGAGTTTTCTGAACATTAGACAAAACAGAACTAGAGGAGAGAATCATTCAAGGGCAAAAAAGTTTTAGTTAACCAAATGTCTAAAAGCTTATTACAAAGAAATTTGGTTACACCAGACTAAGCTCAGGGCTGCTCTGTAGATTTCTACCCAGGACTTAACCCTAAATCTCCAAAGAATCATCAATTCAGCACCAATTCACAAGCTACTAGATTGCTAAGTGATTAAAACAAAAAAGGACAATCTTCTCAAATTAAGAAACTTCATGAGGCCTTAATTCCCTTCCCTTTACAGGAGGGAGACAAACAAAATGAAATCTCACCCAAAATCGTTCAATTCAAAGTCAAGATCAGCTAAACATCACCAAATGTCTGGTTTAATTAATTAGCAAACTCAAACACCTACCCTAAACAAAGCTACTCGATCCAATTTGAACCATATAATGTATATATATGCTTAGATCAAACCAAATTAAAGTCAGCGAAAGAGTCAACTTGCCACAAACACTCTAAATTAGGAAACAATACAAACACATCATTTTCCAAAATTTCCAAATCCCAATTAAAGAAAAAACAAATTATGCAGCAATTCCCACATATAAATATATAAAAGGAACTCAAAAACAGAGACACAGAAAGAGAGAGATTAGAGCACTCACCCAAATTCATCAGGAACAGTTCTTGAAATCCTCATCTTCCTTCTGGTGCCTTTGTACAAATCCTCCAAACTACACACCAACTTACTCTCTATCGCCGCAAGCTTCTTACTTTTCCCGCCACCACCACTGCCATAACTACCATTAACGCTATTCTTCTTCTTAAACACCCTGTCTCTGTCCCCAGATCCACCGAAGAACTCGGCAAAAATATCATCTGGGTCACCATAATTGAGCCCTTCCTCGCCGTAGATGTCATAGATCTGACGCCTCTGGGGGTCGCTGAGGACATCGTAGGCCTGGCAAACTTGCTTGAACTTGGCCTCTGCTCCTTCGTTGTCAACTGGGTTCTTGTCCGGATGCCACCTCATCGCCAACCTCTTGTACGCCTTCTTCAGGTCCTCCTGGGTCGCGTCTCGGTTCACTCTCAGCACGTTGTAGAAGTCCACGCCCATCTGATTCTCCAATCAACGGCTCCGCTTAATTTTCCGCTGTGAATTGAAAGAGAAGAATGTGGATATCTGTGGTTTGAATTTGAAAAACCAGAATTATGAAATGGGGGCAATCGGAGAGAAATAGCGGCGAGTGGGCCGGTTGTGGAAGTGCATGGCGAGCAAAACCCAAACGAAACGAAACGCGGTTTTTCTAGTTTTAGATTTAGAGTGTGGAGATTTTTGAGCGCTTGGTTTGGTACGCGTTTCGTCAGTGTTGTTGTTGTCGATAAGGTAGGTTGCTCCAGGAGCAAGAAGGACACAGATGGTATTAATATTAAATAAAAACCACAACGTGCAGTCAAGTGGGGGGAGCTTGAAGAAACGAGTATCATTGTAGACTTTTTTTTTGTTTCTTTTTGTTTTTGGGTTTTTTAAGAATTAAAAGAAAATATTTACAGTTGCACAGATTCTGGTCGGTCGTTGATGCTGGTGATGAGGTGAGGTACATAGAATGAGTGATAAATGGCCGCCATCTCTGGACACGTAATGTTTCCACAACACGACACCGTTTTCTACTTTTTTATTTAGTTAACTTTGGTTAATTTAATTTAATTATTGATTGTTCATTACGCCGCCCTTTCCTCTTCCAAGCTTTGATATGTGACATTGCGGGATCCAATTTATTCTTTCTTGTAAAGTATAGTTGTAATTTTGTGGTGTCGACCGACTTTGTGGCTTTTAATAATAATGCAGCTGGCAAGTCAAGTGGCGAATTGGATTAAAGTACGAAAGCGGCAATGCAAATGGCGTTAGTTGTTACTTTGCTTATTAGACAAGGAGTTATTGTCAATGTCAATGCTACTTTGCATTTCGAAGTCTTTCAATATCTCTTACTTCCTTTTGAAAAGAGAAACTTCCCTACGTAATATTAGGGGTGGGCATCGAGACTAGAAAACTAGAACACTAAGTCACATCGGAAAGAAAAAACTCGAAAAAATTCGTGTTGACTAAAAAAGTCAACAAACTAGCATCGAACTAGACTAGACTGGTTCAAATAAGTTTTGATGCTAGTTTCACACCTTACACCGGACGGGGCCCGACTGTGTAATTTTTTTATTTAAAAAAAAATTATTTAAGTTCAATGCTAAATTTTTAATTCTATAACTAATATTTCCCCAAGTCTAACTTCAAAGCACTTCTCTTTTCTAAGCCCAATTATCTCTCTTTGTATGAAATTAGGTCATTTATGAATCAGACCAGACCGCATCCACCCCTATGTCATATCACCTATCCGAAAAGACGAGAGATAGAAAGAGAATAAAACGAGAATACATAAATTTTACTATTATTTGAGAATATTTCTAAAGAAAGTACTTTTATAACTCACAAGCGTTTTAAAGTTTTTGTGAAACGTAATCAAAAGCATTTCTTCTTCTTCATAGAAAGGAGATTGGCTACCTACAACTTACGAGTGCAACTTTTGTATTGGATGCCACCGTAGAGGTCATGATGTCATCATCATTCACATGATCGAATGGCACAGATGGCCCGATGTAGTGGGGTGGTGGTAAAGCTTAGCCTACTTTGGCCTTATTCTGGTGGGGGTGGTAGGTCGCTCTCAAACGTGATGATCAAAATGTAAAACTTATTAAGCATAAGCAACTAAAAATACTTACCTTGATTTGCCACAAAGTTGTCTAAAATTGGTACACGTGATCTTCTTCTCAATTGGATTCCTCACACATTCATTCAAGATAGGTGAATGCTTTAGTGTAGGTTGCGAAATTGATTGAACGTGAGCAATTGTATTTATATGCATCTACCTAAGAGTCTTACCTATCAAGAAACTCTCAAGTAATCCTTTTCACAATACAGTAGGAATCCTTCAAACTCTTGTATTAGGAAAGTAATACAAAATGGAAAGAGGGATAAAAGCGAAAGTTGTGGTTTTCCATTTCCATTAGGAAAGTAACTCTGGAAACTGGGAAGTTTAAAGGACTTGGAGAGTTTGGCTTATGAATTTAAT